TTGATCCCGAGATTTGGACGATTATTTCCTTGGTGAACTAATCCTCCCCGGCTATTATTCCCTTCGCGGTATAATACCCGTCGAATCATGTAGATCCGACCGGATCTAGATCGCGCGGTGGTCTACGGATTAACCCCGGCGTCGGCAAAGAACCCACGATCCGACCGGATCTAGATCGCGCGGTGGTCTACGGATTAACCCCGGCGTCGGCAAAGAACCCACACAAAGCAACCGACCGCAAAACAGGAGCTCGCGATTTGTTCAAAAGGAGAAAGTTGTAATTTTTATTTTTTTCTTTGATTTCGTTGTAACCGGATCTAAAAAAGACCAGATCTTTTGTAACCGAGAAAAAATAGTTATTCAAGATAACAATGAATTCAATGAATCCTTCTGAGAGCGAATTACCTTCTTCGGACTTTCGAGAGTCACGCGTCTCGAAACGCGCCTTTGTGGGCGTGAATTCTCAATGGGCTCTTGGACTTCAATACGCAAATTGGTGCGCATAGCTGCCCTGAGCTCCTTGTCACGTTGGAGGTGGCGGCGACACCCAGCGTGTTGAGTGGTTCGGGGATTCTTCAGCGGGCCCAAACGTTCCTGAACTGGAACTTTGCCTTTTTCATCGGGAATGGTCCTGCGGGATCTCCCGGAGAAGTTGTGGAAATCATCGGCGGTTTGGATTTATTTGCCGGAAGTTGAACCTTCGACGGCTGCAATTGACGCTCTTGGGTCTGAACCGCCGCTTTAGACTTCAGCCTCCAACCTTTGCGGGTTGGTGGCGGCTTCTTGGCTACCTCTTTCTGCAGCTTTCTACGGGCTTCTTCGGCTTGAGCCCGCGCCTGCGCTGATAGTGCGCGGCGCTTGCGAATGCGTTCCTCCAGCGTTGATCGGTTCCGTTTGACACGGACCCACTCCATTGTTGGCGGCTTGGAGGAACCACCATTCATCGATTGTTGAGGCTTTTTGCCTCTCTTGTTCTTCAGATCCGCGTTGTAGCGGATCCCGTCAACAGACTCCATGGCCTTTGCGAATTGTTTCGCAAGGCGTTCGGCTGCGACGCAACGATCTCGGCAGCGAGATCGGTGGCTCCCACTGTGGTCGCCAGATTGTTCGCGGTAAAAATCGTTGCTTTCTTTGTAATTGATTCCATTACACTCTTAAATAACAACTTTTTGAGTTACAAAGATCCGATCTTTGTATAAGATCCGGTTACAATGAAAATCAAAGAAAAATAAAGAAAAATTACAACTTTTTATCCTTGTTTGTCGAACAAATCGCGAGCTCCTGTTTTGCGGTCACTCGCTTTGTGGGTTCTTCGCCTACGCCGGGGTTTATCCGTGGAAGGAAATAATAGCCGGGGGGGATTGGTTCACCAAGGAAACAATCGCCCAAATCTCGGGATCAAAGACCAAGCTTTGATCCGGAGTGTGCCTGCGTAGATCTGAGATCCGGTCCTCTCGAACTCTTGCCTTATTTGGCGTTGACGATCGCCGAGCACCAGATCTGGATGAGCAAGTCCTCGAAGTCCTAAAGTTTGAATCTTTTTTAGATCTGAGTCTTCAATCCCGCAGGGATTCGCCTCCAAAAAATCCAACATTTGAACAAATGAACCACCTCTCCTATTTATAGCCTCTCTTTACTGTGCCCGCGCACAGAACTGGGCCGGCCACCTATAAGTGGCCGGCTCTGGGCCGGTGGCTCGGCCTTGGCCGAGCCACCTATGGGTGGCTCGACTTTGGCCGAGCCCCCCTTAGGCGTGGTTTTTCATCGTTCTGTGTTTTTGGTTCCGCCATGATTCGGTTGTGTGGTTGATTTATCCGGACTTAACTCGTTGACCCGATTTGGCAGTAAATCCGGATCTTGAATAGGCAGTAAATCCACTTTTGAGTTCGAGTCCGAAACTGATCTTGATTCGATCGTGATTCGTCCGAGTCCGCCCTTGGTTGGATGACTCGTTGACTCTTCGAACACTTGGCTTGATTCCACACGCGAATGGATGTTGATGCGGCATAATTATGTACCAAAATTGCAAGTGCACAATTTATCAAGTTATAGTATAAAAAGAT